TGGGGATAGCGCACAGCCAGACCAGGCGAATTCAGGCGGCACTTGGCCTGTCTTCTTGGTACGGGACCTCGGTCCCGGTGCTCGTGGTCCGTAGACGACGCGCGGTCGGCGGACTGGGCCACCGTACGTCGACCGTGAACCTCCGCGGCTCTCGACTAGCGCACAGCGCTAATGTGAGGTCCGCGGTTGTAGCCGCAAGGCGTCAAAACCCGGGAGTCTTCGTGAAGCATCAACACCTCTAATCTTCTAAATCCTGCCAAGTCTTCTTTTTCTGATTAAGCTTGTGGTGTAGATTTAATTAATAGTTTATCATGATAACCATGTAAAGCTTTTCATGGATTTTGATCTATAAAAAACTGAAAATGCACTAAAAGATTTAACTGGATTTTCCTATGCTTAATATTTTACTCAAATTAATGCTGTATAATAAACGTTTTTTAATCAATAAAGAAAATTAATTATTATTGTTTTTAATGAATTTTAAGCTAGGTTCATATTACCTACTATCCTAAATGCTCTATGTGTAATTACCCTATATGCACCAGAACAAAATATTTAATATTTTGGCCCTGTGAAAGAGCAATTTCAGATCTTTTAACCAAGGCGTTAAAAAAAATTATGCCCATTATCCATGCATTATAGATTGCACAGAAATTCCGGTGTAACAACCTAGCACTGCAGAAAGGAGACTATATTTATATTATTAAGGGGCCTGGTCGCGACCTGTTTTTTTGCTCAAAAACATGCCTTACAGGAAAAACTCTCACGCCTTGTAGATTGGTCCGATTTCTGTAATTTTTTTTTTTGTTAAATAGAGAAAGACGTATTTAGTTTTCAGGGATTAAAACTAACTCAGAAAAATACAATACTTATAATTGATCCGTGTTTACACAATGTTAAATGTACAGAGAGTGAAGTTCTTGAGGCTTATAAGTTATAACATTGCCAATTTGGCAATATGTTAGGATTCATATTTAACAGTTATTAGTAAAAATGAAAACTTTGGTGTCCTTAACAAAGATACCATAGATCTTTAAACATCCATTGACAATAATATTGTCCATGTAGGTATGCAGTGTTACCTATACCTAAACCTAACTAACAAGGTATCACAATTATAAAACAATAATGTACCAATACTAAAATATATTTTTTATTTTCAACTGGAAAAGAATAAGTAGCTGCTGTTATAAAAAAAATAACTAATTCTACTAATTAATATTTTTAAGTGCCTATGCAACTTGGTAAATAAAAATAAAAATAGAAAATTTCTATTTAATTTAAAGTACCTACCTTGTCAATAAAACATTTTTATAATTTTAAAATTAAGAAGAAATAATATAGGTATACTGTACAATAAAGGTATATTTTAAAATTGTATTTCACTTGTACAAAACTGTAAAAAAAATAGTACATAATACTGTACCATTGAAAGTTGAATTAGTTCAACTTTTGGCAAAGGGAGTGCTGGGGAAACGTTGTAACTTAAATATTGTAACTTTTGGCTCTTCCGTCAAAAAAGACTGCCCTAGACCTGACTGTAACGTATGAAATGTAGAAAATCATAACAACAAGAACAACAAGAACGATAATAATTATAAACTACTGTTATTTTGTTTATCGTATCTATTGTTACGGTTTTGTTGTGGTTCAGTCGTGGGTGCCCGGCATACGCGATAATAATATTACAGTAATTTTCATAATAAATAATACATTTAATTCAATTGGGTAACCGATCGCATAATGGCGCCATCTTGGGACACTCCGACGCGGGGCCGTTGGCGCTCGGTCGGGCTACGGACAGGTACGGTGTACCGTCGTCTTACCTTGTGACGGTGTCCAGTTGGATGCTAGATATATAAGCAGCCAGTCCGCCGGCTGTATCTACGGAGGTTTGACGCACGGCTACCGCTCGAAATCGCCGAATGGTGAAACCTGGATGGCCAGGAAGAAGGGGGTTGCACACTGGAGAGAAGAAAAACCGTTCTACGAGTGCATCCACCCACCTATACAGACAACTGTTGTGTAGTGGTAGTGGTAGTAACGCCCCCAAACCAACCCTCGCGGTGCAGTGCGTGCTCTCGACCTTCGTTAATTTTTTTTTTTTGAATTTCTTAATTTAAAATTTTGCATTGTAGAGCTCCACCATAATATCATTATTACCATTTTTTTCCTCAGCAATATACTTACTCTATTCAAAAGCTTACTTATTTATAATTAACTAACCATTTTGTTAGTTTATATTTTGTAGGTACCATTTATTTATATACATATATACGGTGGAATAATAATTATATTTATTATTATCATCAGTATAGAATATCCGACTATATTATTATGATTTATTTTAATACATTTTTATTTTTAATACATCAACAATTAATAAATAATACAATGGCTACAAAATGTTTAAGACATATGATATTATTATTACACGCACTCTGTATAGAATTATTTTATTAATTGTACAATTTGATAACCAAACAATCTTATTTGAAATGTTTTGCACCAAGCTGTTATAGGTTAGGTAGGTACTTTAGGTAGGTACTTTCAAGGGTTATTTTCTTGATTATTTTTTTCCTTCATATTTTTTTAATAAAATTTTCTATCAATTTTATAGTTAAAAAATACAATTTATAATAATGCCCACTTGATTTTGTTTTAAATTTGAATTTTAAAACTGATTTTTATCTACAAAACAACTAAAAATTGTATTATAAGTATTTTTCGTAATTAAATTATTTTTGATTGGTGGAAAATATAAAGTTATAATAATGACAATTAGTTAACTCGAAGTTTTTCTCTCAATTGTCAAATAAAAAATGTAACGATTTAAACTATTTACCTATTATATACTATGTGGAATATTATAAATTAATCAGTTGGTATATTACTATAATCTACCTAATTTTTCCAGTGGTGCAACTATAAACACTGGGGGGTCAAATATAAAATGAGGCTTCCAAAAATGTAAATGGTCCAGTGGCACAAATAGGTGGGGGCCTTGGGGGCTTACCCCCACAAAATAACTCAAAGTCCCCTTAAAAAATAATAATATAATATATATTAAAATTAAAAAAAAAATTTTGGGGCTTGAGCCTTCCCTAAACATTTTCCCTATTTGCAACACTGCATTTTTAAACAATCCCAGGTACATGATATACCACTTACGCCCCTCCCATATGGTAAGCAAAATCATTTCCATGATGTTGAAAGCTGGTCGCTTTTTCTTGCATTATTTAGACCAATAAGCGGAAGAAAAAAATGTACTTCCTGTGCAGAAGTCAAATATTAATTTTGAAAAAGGTATTTGAATTCCTTATTCTCTTTTCTAGGTTATGCAGGCAATATAGGTTTTTGATTGTTTTTTTTTTAAATAAATCAAATAAGTGAATTAATATATTCCAAGAAAATCCATTTCCTATACACAACAATAAATTCCGCAAGTTCAAACTATAGCGCAGATGATAACATACTATTAGACATTTATACCTATAAATAATACCTACTTATCTAGTGAAGGACACAGCGTACCGTGCATAATATGCTGTGTATGTACGGTTCACATAATGAAAAAATATTTTTTATATCTATTAATAATGCTATATTTTTATAAAAATGTTTTAAATTTCATTCTACTAATTTAGTTCTTCGTAATATTATAATTTATAATAGTTTGTGGATTTTTTTCCAAGTTCATTAATCATTATTCATTAGGATTGATTAATCCGCAACACCATCACGGTCGCGACGCTCTACAGTCCTTATATCTAGTGGCTAGTACCTCAGTACCTTGTTTTTTATGTAAGCAGTATGCAAGTAGGAGATTGAATAAGGGTACAACAGACTTTCAGCGACAGTTATTTATAGTTCTAATCGATAATAATATCAATAACAAAACATAGAACGCTTGTGGTCGTGTATTCGTCACTCGTGTGTGCGGGATCAGTATTGCATACGCTATCGTTGACAGTCTATTATCAGTTTTAACGTGCATTCATTTTTAAAAAGTGATTTACTTTTTATTTATTAAATATAATATTTTGTTATGTACTAGGTAATGTAATATACAGGGTGATCCATTTAAGTGGGTACATTAATTATTTCGAAAAGTATTAATTTTTTTTTTTTTAAACTGTTAGATTTATGCTTTTCTAAAACTGTATACTATTTTAAGTTTTTTCACCCTTATATTTATTGTTTAGCCACTATCAACTTTTGATTTTCAAATGGTAACATATAATAAAAAGATCATGAATTAATAAAACCATTTTTTTATGAATTTACGCGTTGACATTTTTATTATTTGTTAATTGGTTTGCGAGATACAGCTCCTCAAAGTATTGGTGGTTGAAAGTCGGTACGGCTGGAAAATTTTCATTTGTAAAGAGCCCAGAAGTTATAACTGATGAATTCGATACCGTTCAACCTAAGGTACCTAACATTAAACATATTGATAATTGTTGTGCTTTGAACCTCATTAATTGACCTATTTATGTCGACCTATTAGTGCTATTACACCTTTATGCTAATTTAACCATTAAAGCTACGTTTGGTTGACCTTCACTGTCGCACCAGATCCCCATCCATAATCCATATTACCATAGAACAATAATAATCTTATTACTATTACCGATATTTGGCGATACATTTATCATTATTTATAATTATCTAAGAGTTATGACCACGGTCTTATAAAATAATAGAATTGATTATATAAATATTATAATATCATATTAATTAATTAATGATAGTAGTAAAGAAAAATCAACCAATTGTAACTATCTGCTACATAATATTACTGACTGGCTATACAAGCTAACTATACCTACTGGCCACAATAGAAGCTACAAACATGACATTAACTAATATAGTTTATTTGTTTTAGCTAACAAATAATTATTTGAAAATATCCATTATTAAGTGCTTAGCTGTCCCTAACAGAAAAGTTCGTAATTTTCAGTACTTACGTCGTTCGTTTGTTGCAAAACCTTACAGAGATGGACTTGGGAATTTCAACATACCTGCAGCGGTCGTGCGAATGTGCTAGCATGGGTCATCGATGTGTAGTTGACACACTCGATCTGGCAGTCGATAGCCGGATCAAGGCCGTTTGTTTCCCGTTGAGGCGCAGAAATTATGGTGATAGTTTCCGGTCGGCACCCGAGCTCAATATTGACTCACCAGTGTACTCGCGCCCAGAGCTGAGAAGTCTGCAGTCACCCGTGTTGTACGACGGAGTGAATACCATGGTGGTTGCCGCCGCTTCGACGGTGACTCGTTTTCCGGATTTTCCGGTGACTGCAGAGACGAAAGCCGTCAGTCTGAAATCGCAGCGACCTCCACGTGTCCGGTCCTTGATCACCGCGCTGGACTTGGTCGGCTATCGTATGATCTCTCTGGCTGAGACATGACCGGTGCTTCTCGAAAATGCCAGGTCGTGCCCAGAGCTGAAAATGCAGTCATCTGTGTACGGCAGAGTTCAGAATACCGTCCCTCCGGCACCAGCGGAAATCCTGGCACTGTCTGAACTCCGTAAATCCCAGTACACCTGCAGCGAGGGCCGATGTCTTGTTGACACTCTCGATCTGGCAGTTGATCGCAGGATCACGGGCGTCGGTCTTCCGTTGCGGCGCAGTCATTGTGATAGTTTCCGGTCGTCGCCCGAGTTCAGACTTGACTCGCCCGTGTACTCGGGCCCAGAGCTGAAAAGTCTGCAGGCACCCTTGTGAATACCGTCCAGCCTGAACCAGCGGAAATGCCGCAGAAACCGGCCAGGTCTGAACGCCGCAAGTCCGCGTTTACAAGATCGAGACGGTTCATCTGGAAGGGTTTGGTAAACGCGGCGCGCAGACTTTGTTTCTGCAGTAGCTTTGTGGACATGGAGTAAGCTAAGTTACCACAGTGGTCGCGGTTACCGCGGAAGTCAGTCGCCGATCAACCCGTTCGTTGTTTTTGCTATATTCGTCTAACTCTATAACTTTATTCGAGTTCGTCGAACCGTTACGTTCGAGTAATTAAGTATTAATTGTTTCCGTTTTGTGTTGCCGCTCAGTTTCGTGTGCCTCACGGGGCCATTTCGAAGTCCGCTGTCGCCGTTTCCAGCAAGATTATGCTTAAAGTTAAGTTGCAAACTTGTGTTCTACATTTTTTTTTTCATATATTATTGTAAATTTATATTGTTTTTGCTAAAAATATATTATTATTATGTGGTAACAAGCTAAACTTTGTAGGTACTCACCATTTTTTGTATATTAAAATACCTAATAGATATTATATATGTATAATATACCTAATAGTATTATATTTTATAATAAACCACGATATACCTACTAACATATTGATTTGTTATATATTATATATTATTTACTATGGTTCATTTTCTTCGAAAGTCGCAAGCCGGACTAATGTATCCTTATCAGGTTTGCGTTTATTTGTCATAAGTATTATGTTCTATGGTTGTAATAAACTTCAAAACTTGTAAAGTAAAATACTAAACCATATGGCCATGCAGCATAGCACTATTACTTAAATAGTTAAATATTAAATGAATAATTAATAATTTAACTATTATATGTATAGTTAGTTTATGTTGTAAACCGTTATAAGTAGACAGACAGTTTAAATTTCTTTAATAGCATAATATACCTAAAAAAATAGTTGTTGAATCATTAAGTTTGTCCAAAATATTCCATTGAACTTAAAATCACATAATAAATAAGTCGTAATTTGGGATATATTTATGTATTTTATTTGATATTTTAATCAAAAATATATGTATTTAAGTTTATATTATGAAGTGTGATGTAAATTTGATAGTACATGAATACCAACCACTTGGAAAGCACAACATTTGTACCTACATTAAGTTTATTGGTAAGTTTTCTTAAAATGTATACGTAGAAAAATTGTTATGATTAATACATTAATTTGTACATACATTATTATGACGTCTTAACAGTTTTTATTTAAATTTTATTTTCAGTTAAATCAGTTTTGTTCATTCAGTTACACCACCAATAAAATATGTTATTCAAAGTTTGATAACAAAAAATTTGTTATACTCTTAAAAATTATTGGCCGACACCAAACACCATAGCACAAACCTAATAATACAACTTCATATATTATTCATATCTACATCTATCTACATCATATACATACTTAAAAATATAAAGTTCTCTGTTCAGAAGTACTTATAAGTTGCATATATTCAAATTTTACATTCTGGCATAGTAATTATTATTAAGAACTAAGTTGATCTGTATTTACTACAAATATACTTGGCCAAATGATTTGGAGATAGATATTGGAATCACATAATTTTCTATCTTCCATTACATTTTCCAAACTAGAACAATGACAAAAAAAATTTTGTTTCCCATATACTATTTTAATGGTTGAGAGTGACTACAAAATGAATTAATTATGTAAACATATTTTTTTACCGTTAAATAATTTGGTTATATTTATCGCGTTCCAGAAAAAAAACTTAATCCCAATAATATAGTAAACTAAAAATATGTTAAATGAAAATAGTACAAGATAATGTTTTTTTTTTTTAATTTTAACAAATATTATACAATTAAGTTAATTTAGCTAACAACATCAATCAATCATTGATACTTAAATGGGTGGTAAAATATATGTTTCTATAAAATTAAAAAAAAATCATAAATTACTCACCTTCATTATTATACATGGTATTATTAAATATTTTATTTAAATAACTACTTTATTATAATATTAGGTAGGTATGTATTAATCCTAATATTTATGTATCATAAAAATATTTGTATTTAAATTTATATTGTTTTAGTGTTTTGCAACTGAATAGTTCTTCTGTTTAATTGGTGTTGTTAGCTATTTATTACCACCTACGAAATCTAAGCTAAAATATTATTAGTCCCATTTTTAAATTTTACTGTATCTTTTTAAGTTAGGGGTTAAGTTGAGTTTGTTTCAATTTTTTTGAATACATGTTATGATCTTAGCTCATAACCAATGCCCTGCTATTATAGGAATACCGTATACGTAATTTAATATATATTATCGCAACTTTGATTATGATGTACGACAAGTTTGTGTACTTTTCCACACCACCATGAGGTATTACACGTGGCGCGTTTTTTTTATTGTGGTATCCCCGGTAGGCCTAATCCACATCATAAGCGAAAACGCGCGAACGCCGATCGACTACAATAAAATTAATTAATTATAGATTGGTATTGCGAACACTGTACTTCACGCGATTAGATACGTTAATTTAAAGTATAATAAAATAAAATTAATACCCAATGATTCATTGAGTATATAGGTTTTAACTTTTAATTTTTAACTTTCACGGCATTCGCCCATTTCCAGCTTACTATTGTGTTGAATTTAAGTGCGTTACAGGCTTACAGCCTCTGGAAATAGACAAGAGTGGCGCGACAGGAGTTGGGGGAATTTGTATTTGTCCCATGGTATTATATAAGTCCAGGTAGTCAAAACGAGTAAAAATGTTTCGGGTTTCGTATATAAGAAACCGGGTAAAAAATTGGGAAAAAAATTCGGGTTAGGGGCTTTGCGTTCAAAACCGGGTAAAATTGTTTGCAGGTTTCGCGTCCGAAACCGGGTACAATTTTATTATTTGCGGGTAGGGCGTTTATGGTGTACAAAAGTGGGCCAAATCGCGCGATGGTTTTATTATGGGTTTTGCGTTCAAAACCGGGTAAAATTGTTTGCGGGTTTCGCGTCCGAAACCGGGTACAATTATTTGCGGATAGAGCGGGTATGGGATACAAAGGTGGGTCAAATTGAGAGTGGGTTATGGGTTTTGCTTTCAAAACCGGGTAAAATTGTTTGCGGGTTTCGCGTCCGAAACCGGGTACAATTTATTGTTAGCGGGCTGATGGAACTGGTGCAGAGGTGGGTTAAGTTGGGCGCGGCTTATGGGTCATGGGTTTTGCTTTCAAAACCGGGTTCAATTGTTTGTGGATTTCGCGTCCGAAATCGGGTACAATTATTTACGGGTAAGAGTAAAGGGGTATAAAAATGGGTCAAATTGGGTTTGGGATTTGAGAATGGGTACAATTTAAGGAGGGTTACCCGTTTTTACTCCCTGAATTTATAACGACCATGTGACGGGACTGGGAATAGTTAATAAAACTTATTGATATTATAATAACAGTAATTTTTAATTATTTAAAAGATGATAGCTGGATACTTATTTAAATTCAACACTGTCCTAACTCCTAATACTATATATATATATATAACTATAACTATAGCTATAACTAAATTATTACTATAACTATAACTAGATATATTATTACTATTCTTATTATTATTTATCTAATAATTTTATTCAACATCCACTTAAGTATACTAAAGTCCTATTTCTATGTCACCAATCACTAACACCAACTACCAACAGTATCCTCTATTCATCGACATCCATTCAAACCAGTCTCAAGTCACAAGACTCCTTAGCAAAACCAGCGAGTGCAGTGCATGGTGAGTATAAAGCGGGTAAGTGGGTTTATGTGTTGATGTGTATTATTGTGTATAGTGTTACAGTGTAAAGTTTCTGGTAGTATAAAATATGTTGCTGTATAATAATATTGGTAATTCAAATAACAAAAAAACATAAATTAATCACAGCATATGGGTTATAACGAAAGAATAATAATAAATTATTAATGAAAATAAACTGGACTCGGTCCAATAAGATGAACCTTGCAATTAGGTACCTAAGTAAAGTCTTTTTTGGGACGATTAATAAAATACTTAAATAACGATTGAAAGATAAATGCAATAACGTTCTGGCTCTATAATTTATTATATTAAAGTAATAATAAATAATTAAAAATTATATAATAATATTATATTGTGAATAATTAGATTATATTAGACACCTATTTGAGTTACTGCAGAGTAATTATAAGTTGAAGTAATGAGAGCGTTTTGAAGTCTACGATGATCTTGAGAGGTACATATACATTATAAAAATAAAATGAACACAGTTGCGTTTTGCACACATGATACGTAATAATATAGATATAGTGGATTTGTATTATAATATATTAGGGGCGATAAAAAAACATAAAATAATAATATTATTAAAAATACGTAGGTACACAGAGATTATCCCCTATTCAATACCAATAATGCAATACATAATTTTAGATCACTCAAAGGAAAAATTAAAAATGCGATTAACTCTGTTCAACGAATTTGAACACTACTACTTAATATTATTATAAAAAAATTAAAAACCCAACAACATATTTTAAATAATAAAAAAAAAATTGTAGTAAAAAGTCACATAACAATGTGTGTGTGTGTGAGGCCGGCCGGCGATGGTCTGTGAATTGTGATGTGTTTGACATTGAGATGAAGATGTTATAGGTACCTACGACAATATTAAACTAAATACAATAATTATTTTACTCATTAAGAATAATAAGGGGACGATAAGCCGCGGACAATTTTCGTTCTCGTCTAACATCACATCTCCGAAAACCTCTGGTCGCTGAATTATCATCCGTCACTTTCACGGGTCACCCTCTAAGCGAGGGGTCAGCAATCAGCTTCTGGGGGTCCGGAGGATTTGAAAAATAACTTTGTAGGTCCAGAAAACCTTTTGTTTATCATGCTAATGGTCTAAATAAAGAGAAAAATAATGAAAAATATCAGCATTAAAGTAAAATAGTTTTGACGTCCATTTATTTCCCTTCGGTGGTCCCCC